TAATTTTTATCTTTTGTTTTTTACTATTTCTATTTTTATTCAAAAAACGAAAATAAAAATTAAAATATTAAGACAAATTTATTTCATTATGCAACAATTAATTTTTTTCTTTTTAAAACAACTAATTTACGTTCATCCACAACGCAAACTAATGTTCAACATACGTCATGCAACCCTGTCATAAAAAAAAAATCAAGTAACGCAACTAAATTTTTCAAGTTCAATACCCCAACGCGCATAAATATCTGAAAATGGCCTCCACAAGCGCTGCAAATGTATATTATAATATACATATGTATGTGCATACATACACACATTTATGTTTGGCGCTGTGCACAATTTTTCCATGCCACTTCACTCAAGTTCATGGCATTTTCCTGCCTTCAATTTGTCTTTTTGGCAATTCAGCAAGAAGTACGAAAATACTTTGGTTTGTTAGGCACGCCACACTAGCGCTAGCAGCAACGAAAAGTGACTACACCTCAGTTGTTGCCACTTTCAGCTGCATTTATGTGCAATTTGCAGCATTATGATTAAGGTGTGAGCACACTATGCGACAATAAACGAAAACAAAAGGTACTTGTTTGTAGAAAAATAATAAAAGTTTGAGTGTATAGGAATAAAAAATGAAGCAGAAGAACTTTTGCTGTAAAATTTAAGCGTTATTTGCATTACCACAATTAAGCTGTGAACAGAGTAAAAGGCTGGAAACGACTCTGCGCGACACCTGACGGTTGCAACAATGTGTGCGAAAAGGTTTCAGATTATTTCAAATAATGTTTATTGTAATAGAAAATAATTAACTCTGGAGACTTCTAGGTGATACTGCTGGGCCTACTTACTTTGAAGAATACCTTTTTGACAGTCAAAGTGCGTGACCTGGTCTACGAAAAGGGAGCTAACGAGCGAAAACTAGCTTTCTGGGAAACAGCTGTTAAAAATCTCATCTTCCATCCGAATCAACTAAAAAGTGAAAATTGATCCATTTTTTCGTTTGTTAAGTCGATTTTCAGGTGAAATTAGCTTCATGGCTTTAAAAAAAAATTGTTTGTTTACATATTTTTCGCTTTGTAGTAATAGATTTTCAATGCTGCCAAGTATATGGAGCAAAATCAGAGTCGCACAAAGCGATTTAGCGTGGATCAGTTTCAAATCATTTCGATGAAGTGATTTTGAACTGTCATTTTTGTTTTTCGAAATGTTGATAAATTTATAAGATTAGTGGGATAAACCACTCAACAGCCGAAATCGTGGGATTAAGTGTCGGTCTGAACATGGTATTACAGGCTATAATTTGAAGATTGACACCAAAGTGAGTAACTGAGAGCATTACATTGCAACGGTATATCAAATGTGATCGCACCTTAAGCAGTGACATGTGTAGTAATAAACTTTTTTTGTACAAATGCGAGAGGGCTTTGTCGTGAAGTGCCAGGATAGGCAAAGTAGTGAATTCGCGCGCAGCCAAGCATGTGTGAAATTGTAGAAACGTATGTAAGTAGTTTTTGTTTAACAAGCAAATTAAGATTCTTCTAATTGTGTCTTTTTATTGCATTTGTAAGGAAATGCTTGGGTAACATGGTAAGTGTGAAGACAAGGGCACCAACACCTCAGTAAACATAACATGTAGAGAGGTTTGAGCGTGGAGCCAATGAGAGAAAATTTGCCAATGGTGATGAAGTTGTAATTGAAAACAGTGCGGCAGTTTAAAGGAAAAATGTGTGCTCAATTAAATGTGAAGAGATACTTATGCACTTGGCAGCAAAATATTGATTTGTTAAAGCAAAACATATGTGTTTTTAAATATAAAATGAAAAAGTTAAATTGGAAAAATTGCCGTGATATTAGCTAATATTCTAAGTTATATTGACGAAATCAACTAACTCAGCAGGCTACACCTTGCCTAAGCGATATTCATAAATTGGTAGTCTACACACTACGTTATTGTTATCGATTTTTTTACAATTCTAATTCAGCTTTATTTTTATGATATTTTGTTATTCATATTGCAAGTGACAAAAAAATCGTTATAATTTATAAATTTTGCGCAGTACTATGAAAACTGCTGAATTTAGTACGAAAATGTTGGTGTCAAGCATAAGAAAAAATTTTAAATAAAAGCAATAAAAAGAAAAAATCACATGGAGTTGAAGAGGAAACACAACTGAATCATAAATGGATGCACATATTAAGAATCTTGCTAGTAAAAACTTGATAGAAGTATATTAAGACATTAAGAGTCGCTGAATGATTATTAAAAAATCTTAGTCTGATAAGAAGTAGGCACTAGTTGAGGTGTCTGGTAAAACAGCTTTATTTTATCATAGAACGGACACTTTAGTATAAAAGCTACACTATTTTCAAAGAATTAGTTTGTATAACCAAAGACCGGTAGAGCAACTCGGGATTTTTAAATATCCCAATACACTTTCCACCGGAAAAAGTCACTTCAGCTTCATACCAAGTCGCTTTGTTGCACAAGATGGACATGACAGAAAAGGAAAAAAGTCGAACGCAGAAAATGATTCATTGGCGACAAGTTGTTGCCAAAAACATATTTAGACATTTCTTTACATAAATTTTTTATTATTTGCTATTTTGAGATTGCGTACATACATGTTTTCCCTTCAAAAAGTTTGCGCTCATTTTCGCGCTGTAATAAAAATGATGTGCGAAAAAATGCAGTCAGTGAAAATCATGCGCGCCGAGCGCAGCCATACATCACTCACTCTATTTTCACGGCGTCCGCATGAACAGCAACACAGCCAGCGTTAACGACGAGTTAATAAAAGCACGCAATGGTGGCAATGGCGTCTGGGCTTCATGCGAGTTGCCACTTTAACGCAATAACTGCGTAGTGACTTCTGTGCTGGCGCTGTCGGCGCAATAGACAAATGCTGGAATTCGGTGTAGTGGCGCATAGAAGTTGTGGTTGGTAATTTATTTTATTCTTATTTCTTTTCCCGTAATAAGTGATTCAGATCACGGCGGTCGGACGTACATTGTGCGCGTTTTACGACTCACTTGCTGCAAACAATGAGCGTGCAAATAAAAGTATTTACCGACTTTGTCACAGCAGCAGCTTCTTTAGCAGACAAAAAATGGTTTGAAGTGAAAAAGTGCACAAAAATTGGCGTAAATATTAATT